TAGTCCTATTACATTCCTCCCTCCCCCTTATTTCTTAAAGCAAGGCCAGTTGATGGCTTTAAATCTACTTCAAGAAATTCATTTATTTGGGTTTTATAGGTCCTTTGAATAAGTTCAAGTTCATTCCAGAAAAGGAAATGAAAAAAATCTTTCAGGCTCTGTTCTACGGTTGCAAAGTCCCACAGTATCTTTTCATATATTTAATTCAAAATTCAAGGATGTTGGTGGAGGACTAAATTCACACAGTAGACATTGTTTCTAAACAGAAACCATTGGGTGACCTGGGTGGGGGGTGGGTCAGGTGTTCTGCCTACCATAATTGTGGTGTCAATACATCGGAATAGATTTTAATGAGATTCAGTCACCATGTATATGAAGAGATATGCCCGATATGTGTATATATTTTGTAGGACTCTGCATAGAAGTGAGGGGGATTTACAGATTCATTGATTCAGCAAATATTTATGGAGCACCTACCATGTACCAGCTGCTGTCCTAGACCAAGGATACTCCTGTGAAGGTCCCTGCTCTCATGTAGCTAAACATCTAGTGGAGAGAAAAAGACCATGAACAAATAAATATATAATGTGTTAGGTGATAAAAAGGGTTTTATAGAAGGATGAAGCAGGGTAAGGGGGCTGGGTGCTTTAGAATATGGATTTTATTATACAGGTATGGTGAGGCCAAAAGATCAGGAGGAATTGCCGTTGAAAAGCTAGTTTGTTATACTCACAGTTCCCAAGAAGAGGGGGCACACCACAAAATGGGGGGCGGGGGGCACATGGGAAAGCACCAGAGCTGATCAGAGACAGAGAGGGTGGTGGGCAGATCTGTGGCAAGAGTCTTTATTGTGATCTCTGAGGGAAGGAAGAGATGAAGCCAGGCAAGCAGGCTTAGGATTGGCTAGTTGAATGATTCCAGCAGGCTCTGGGGTGTGAGGGCTGTTCCTGGTTATGTGGCACCTGGCCCTGGGGTGATTAGGACAGGTGGAGAGTGCCCTAGTGTGTGAGAGCCTGAAAAAAAGGGGCAGTTGGGTGTAGGCTCTGGATTGGTTTCTATGTGAAAAGCACATTTGTGGGTGCATTGTTTATCATCTCTAGGAACTGGTGAATCTTGCGGGGGCAGTCCATCTAATGTCCGCAAGTCCTCAGGTATCAAAGCATCAGCATACAGAAAATAAAAGACAAGGTTAATACACTGGGGGCGTTCTGGGAATGTGGTCTTTCCACAGGGCTGGGGGAAGAGGTCAGATAAGGTCTCTCTGTTTAAGGGATATCTGAGCAGAGAACTGAATGAAGAGAGGGATCGAGCAGATATATCCTAGGAAAGAGTCTTCCAGGTGGAGGGAATAGCAAGTGCAAAGGCCCGGAGGTGGGACTGTATTTGGTTTGTTCAGTGACTCGAGAAGAGGTTGGTATAGCTTACAGGAGAGACGAGGAAAGCTCGTCAGGGAGGTAGGGCTGAGAGTGTGTGGGATGAGATGTCACCACATTGTGGGAGGTGAGGTGCTCGGAGCAGAGGATGAGGATTATCTGACTTGGGTTCTGGTGCTGTGCAGAGAGGGCGTGGGGAGGGGAGGCAGGAGACCAGGGAGACCAGGCAACAATCCAGGTGGAAGAGGCTAGGGGCTGCACCACTGGAGGACCCAAGTAGACAGATTCCTGCTCTAAGCTGACAGGCCTGGATGGGCAGAGGTTTGAGACAGAGTGGGAGAGACAGAACTCGTGTTAGAAGGAACACTTCATTTGTTTCTGAAGGAAAACATACATGAAGCCATTTTAGCAAATGGAAATCTGAGTGCAAACCATGCTGTCTTTGACTGATGTCTTTCTCCACGCTCCGACAGCCCTGTGCCTGCATGCCCGTCATTCCATACGTCTGGAAATATCTTACTCACGTGTCTTTTTCTCCATCAGATTATCAGCACCTCTGGGGAAGGGGCTGAGTCCAGTTCTGTTTTGGTTGTTTTGTCCCCAGCTGCTGTGATAAGGCCTGTTTCAGAGGAAGTTCTCTGGAAATGTTTGTTCCGAGTGTCTACTTTGCAGATCTGAGTTTTCTCCCTGGGAGGAAGGATTGTGCCCAGCAGGGACGAGTTTCCATGCCCACGTGCTCCCTTGACAACTAGAAAATGTCTCCATCTTCCTCACCTCTTGGCCTTTGCACGGGCTGTCCCCTCTGCTTGGATTGCTGTCCACCCCCCTCCTCCAGGTCCCCGTTTAAAGGCCGCCTCCTCAGAGAGACCTTCCCTAACCCTCTTTTTTCCCCCCAGCTTAATTATTTAAGTAATTTCTACACCCAACGTGGGACTCGAACTCACAACCCCGAGATCAAGAGTCGCACGCTCCCCCGACTGAGCCAGCCAGGTGCCCCTAATTTTGATTTTTAAAAAAAATACTGCATTAAAATATGATTTATCTTGATTACGGAGTCTTTTTTTGGCTTCCCTTTACATTCTGTGTTCAAGGCAAGAAGTCCTGAACCTGCTCAGGGTGGGGCCTGAGAATCCGTATTGTTAAATCTGCCTTCCCAAACCCCCGCTGCGAGGCTTACAGGAGCTGTGAGCTAAATCGGAGATGGAGGATAACCACGTGACTTAAAAAAATAAATCTGGAAAGGCTTGCTTTGCTGTTTCTCCATGAGCAGTGAATTTTGCACACCGCCTGCCCAGCTGTATGGGGTCAATTGCCTGCACCAGGGTCAAAAGGGAAGCCCCATTATGGCAGGGGCAAGGAATTTGCCCCCACACTTGAATGAGAAGGGTTGTTTTTCACTGTGATTTATAGCTGGGCTTTCTGCCTCAGATTCCACATTGCCAGAAAAAAAGCAGAAATCCATAATCATAAAGTTGGTCACTTTTGCCCTAGAAGCAGCTAGTTAGGAGTTCCAGGGCCTCCTAATTCTTAATTAGGGCCAAAGACCCTACGCCGCCCTCTGGGTGTGCAGGTCAGTGTCTAGAGCTCCTCAGTCCCTCAGGGGAGGTCTGGAGAGGTGCCTAAGTCTGGGTCTCTATCTTGGACACCCGGCGCCGATCAGAACCTGTGCGAGAGAGAAGATGCAGAAGTCTCAACCCTTCCGTGACCCCAGCTCCTCCTCTCTGTACAACCCTAGACTCTGTCCTCCGTGTGTGGGGGGCACAGCTCCCCCTTACCAGTGCTGTCCCATTTGGGACTCCCTCCTCCACCCCAAATGGTATTTGCTTTCCACTCCATTGAGTTTTAAAGGGCTCCATTGTATACGGCTCTGTGTCACGTATCTGTCTGTTTAGGCTTTTCAATTGTCGCATGATTTACAGCCACTTTGGGGGGGGGAGGAAGGTCATTCCCTAAATCTAAGGTATTATTACCATGACGGCAGCGCCCGATTGCTATGACACCCACCAGGCTGGGGAAGGTAGAGCTAATCAGTCGGAAAACTTACTTTTCAGGCGTGAGTCACGGGCAGCGGGTGTCAGGGGAAACTTTAACAAGGCCCTCGTGACTCAAATGGTATTTCCACTCTGCGTCACTGTGTGTACATCGTGCTGAGGTCCCCATGCCTCCCCACCCAAGCCAGAGAGAGGACGTGCTCCAAGGCCTTTCTACTTCCTGGCTGTCTTTCCCGTTTCCCTTCCCATTCATTCCCTCCCCAGCTGTTTTGGGAGCACCTACTAGGTGCCAGGCCCTGGGCTAGGTGCTGGGAGCCAGCGGTGAGCTGTGTTGCCCAGTAGGGACTCAGAGCGCGGGAGCAGCGCCGAGCTCCTTGTGCAGGAGACAGACCATAACCGAGTAGCAGGGAATACATGGGGCAACTTGGAAGGTCGACAGGTGGATGAAGAAGATCAAGTAGGATAGGAGGGAGTAAGGTGGAGGTGCTGGTGTGCATTCTTCAGAGAGGTGGTCAGGGGAGTGAGGGAAGGGGCAGCCATGGAGGGTTCTTCGGGAAGGGCATTCCAGGTAGAGGGATCCGCAGATGTGAAAGCCCGAGGTGGGGAAGGGGCTGGGTGTGTCGGCAGAGCCAGAGGGCCCTGTGGCCGGGGGGAGTGAGCAAAGCGGACAGAAGCTGGGGATGAAGCTGGAGAGGACAGGGCCCGGGTCACTCAGGGCACTGGGGTTTTATTCTCAATATAATGGACGGCCCCTGGTGGACTCAGGCGAGGCGGTCAGATTTGTGTCAGAGTATGCTTCCTGCTGCCGGCCCAAGGGCGGGATCATGGCCAAGGCAGCAGTGGGTATGGGATGAAGAAAGCCATGTTGCTGTACCCGTGAGGGTGAAACCAGGCTGTGGCTATATCGTGGGGGTAAAGCCCCCTCCCTGTCCTAGCACTTGAGGGGCTCTGATGCCCTCGGGCTGAGTAAATCTGTTGGCTGGTGGGGGGGGGGGGGGGGTCCCTCTCTAATGTGCATCAGGAGCAGATCCCAGCCGGGTGGGTGCTCTGGAGGCTTCTGGAGGGCACACGGAGGCCTTAGGGGGCCCAAGGCAGTGCCTCTCAGACTGCTCCGGGGGGACCATGACCCACCTTCTCAAATCATCAGTCCCACTCTACATTTAGATTTACGTTCAGGGAAGTGATTTAAAGCATTTTTTTTTTTTAAATAATGTTAAAATGAATGTGGAGTGGAGAAGAAAATCCACAGTATTTTTAAAAAGATAAAACGAAGCGATTTCACCTTTGTGGTCGGCAATGCTGACGGGCCCCTTGGTGTCCACTTAACCATTGCGGGGCCTTGGGGGAAAAGTTTGAGAAGCCTAAGGTGCAAGAGAAGAGAACAGAGGATGGAAGAGAAGGAAAAAGGGAGGAAGAGAGGTCAGGAGGTGAGAGGAATCAAAGAAAAACAGAAAGGGAACGCAGTATTTACTGACAATTTCCCCAGAGGTATCTGTTCTCTAACCCCGCTGGGCGCGACCAGGTCTGAACGACCGAAGGAAACAGGCCGGTGTCCTCCCAGTACCCACACCAGCTGGCTTTGCTGGCAAACAGCTTCCCCTCTTCAGAGCCCCATGGAAGGCATTTTTCTCTCTTTTTCATCGGTTTTCTTTAATTGCACATGATCCACACTAAACACAGACATGTTCCTGCTGTCATTTGTCTTTTTTCCCTCCCGGCAGACCCATAAAGCAAGTCTTTGCTGGGCATGTTATTTACATGGTGGGAAGAACAAAGCCATCTCCTTACTGGGGGAAACAGACATGGGGGCGGGGGTGGGGCTGTTGTGTGCTGGGCTCTGGACCAGCTTCTGCTTCTCTCGTGGAGGCGGAGGGGTAGGGACCCCTCTGTCCACGTTGCAGACGTCCTTCTTGGGGTGTGGTCCCAGTGGGTCCTGCGCCAGGACCGCGCTCAGAGCAGCAGGTGCCTTTGAGGGCATCTCGTAGTGACGGCAATAGCTTCAAGCCGCAGAGGGCGGGCAGAGCTGGGGGTGTCCTGGCGGTGGCGACGGGGTATGTCCTCTGGGCTCAGTTGTTGTCTCTGGTGTCCGAGGACACACTTCCAAACAAGAGGTCGCTATCGTGGGACATGGTGCTCAGCTGCGACTTGGTCTTGATGAGGAACTGGGCCCTCCGGAACATCACCCTCTCCTGCTCCTGCTTGAGCTCCAGGTAGGAGCGGGAGAAGGTGTGGAAGATGGAGGTCACGGGGAAGGCCATGAGGAGGATGCCGCTGAGGATGCTGCTGAGCGCCACCACCTGGCCCGGCGTGCTCCTGGGTACCATGTCGCCATAGCCCACAGTTGTCATGGTGATGACAGCCCACCAGTAGCAGGCGGGGATGCTGGTGAACTCGGGGCTGTCGGCCATCTCGTTCTCGATGACGTAGAGGAGGGGGGCGAACAGGGCGATGGCCACGCAGAGGAAGAGCAGTAAGAGCCCGAACTCGCGGGTGCAGCGGCGGGCCGTGAGCCCCAGCGTCTGCAGCCCCAGGGAGTGGCGGGCCAGCCGCATGACGTACAGGATGCGCAGCGCCCGCAGGACCCGCAGCACCAGCCCCACCTTGTCCAGGTAGCTGTTGCCCGCGCCTGACTTGCGGCGGCCCGCGGCGGCGCCGTCCACCAGCAGGGTGATGTAGTAGGGCAGGATGGCCACCAGGTCGATGAGCGTCAGCGGGCTCCGCAGGAAGGCGAACTTGCTGGGCGCCTGGATCAGCCGCAGGAGGAACTCGAGGGAGAACCAACCCACGCACACCGACTCCACGATGAAGACATTGTGGCACATCTGCGAGCATTGGCCCTGGGAGGGAGGGGGGAGGTCAGGGGAGAGGTCAGCCGCGCCACCCGCCGGGCCGTGTGTTTGCCCCGGCCCCGCCCTAGTTAGGCTCACGTCCCGGTGGGTGGCGGGGGTGGGGGGGGGGGGGAGGGGTGGGCTGGCCACGCTCAGGGCTTGAGGCACCTGCAACGACCGCTCGACCACTGGACCCCTCGACCACTGGACCCCTCTTCTTCTCTCTCTCCAGCCCAGACCTGCTGCCCCTGGATTGCGGACCCCACAAGGCCTGCCTCCTTGATGTCACTCCTCGGGTGTCCGATGGATGTTTCAAATTTATCATGTCCCAAACCGGGCTGCTGGTTTTTTAAAAAAATTCTTTTTATGGAGATATAACCGACATAAAATACTGTGTCAGTTTCAGGTGTACATGTTGATTTGATACATCTATATATTGCAGTAAGATTACCACCGTAGCCTTAAGCTAACACCTTTATCATGTCACGTAATTCTCTTTTCTTTTTTGGGGTGGAAACAATTAAGATTTAGCCTCTTCAGTCTCTTGGTTTCTCCTGCACACCCGCCCACCAGTGCTTTCCCTTCTTAGCAATCCCACCTTTCCAGTTGCTCAGGATGGGAGACCCGGCCTCGTTCTGACACCTCTCATATAGTCCTCAGGAAATCCCGTTGGTTCTTCCTTTAAAATGATTCCAGAATCAAACCACTTCTCCTATGTCTGCTGCCCTCACCTTGGTCCAGCCACCATCCTCTCTTGCCTGGACAGTTGCAGGCACCTCTTTCCCGGGATTCCTGGTCCCTACGGTTTATTCTGCGCACATAGCCAGAGGGATGCTGAGAACGTGAATTGGATCCTGTGCGTTCTCTGCTCAGCACCCTCCATGGCTCAGGGAGATAGCTCAAGTCCTCCGGGGGCACACATGGCCTGGCTACCGCCTCTCCCACTTCCTAGCCCCCTGCCTGCCTTGTTTGTGTGCTCCAGCCTACCCCCCCATGCTCCCCCCACCCCCCAAGCCAGGCCTTGACTTTCTGTTCCCCCTGCAGGAGTCCTCTTCCCCCGGATACCCACATGGCTCTACCCTCCCTTCCTCCAGGTCTTTGCTTCAGTATCACTTTCCCAGGGAGGCCTTTCGTGACCCCCTCAATAAAAAGTCACCCCCCCGTCTTCCACCCCGATTCCCCTTTTCCTGCTCTATTTATTCAGAGGGCTCATCATCTGTTAAAATGCTTTATAAGTTACTTATGTATCATGTTTATTATCTGTTTCCACCCTCCACCTCCCCTGCCACTTTGCCCCAGAAGTTTATAGCCCCCCCACCCCACACCAGCTCGTGTGTTGTTCACTGTTAGGACCCCAGTGCCTGGAACAGCCCAGCACGTGACAAGTGACTAATTCACATTTGTCACCAGGATGGATGGAAGCGCGTGGGACTGGCATTTAGATGGGGGTGCCAACCCAAGGCCAGGTGGGCAAAGGGAGCCCGAGGGAGCTGGGCCAGGTGGGGTGGAGGCCGGCCAGAGAGCACAGCTGTCCTGCTAAGTACCTCCTGATCGCTGCGCCAGGGGAATTCAGGCTGGAGCTTTGCGTGAAACCTCCTGGGTTTTAAATTTTGTGATAATTCAATACAAATAAACACTCTGTGGGCCACTCAAACTTATCTGCGTGCTGCATTTGGCATGCGCGCTGCCAGCTTGTCTCTCTGGTCTGCCATGGAACTGGACAGGAGACTGTCCCCAGTGGCTTTGGACCTCGGTTTCAAAGGGGCCTGTGACAGAGTGGAAAGGCACACATGGTTTTAGCCTGGGGCATCTGCCATTCCTGGGCACAGCTGGGTTCTGGGAGTCCTGCCCTAGCAGCTCTCACTCTAGGAATAAGTTAGAGGCTGCTGAAATGAACTAGTACTCGGTGGGCCATGAGGTCTCAGCCCTCTGGGATGGGAAGCCTCCTTCTCTAGGAAGCCTTCCAGGAGTGGGCCCCCTCCAAGTATCCCCAGCACAGTTGATGGGCCTCTCATAAGAGCCCCCTTGGCTTGTGTGTCACACTTATGGTCACAGGGTTGTCACTGTCCCTTCTCCACAGGACCTGAAGTCCTTGTAGCTGGAAAACTCGTTCTGGTCACCCTGCATGACAGGTGATGCCTGAACATAGTAGGCACTCGAATGTGCGCTCAAGAAGCAAGTGAAACAGTGAACCTCACTGGTCTCCAAAATGAAGTCAAAGGGGGCGCCTGGGTGGCTCAGTCGTTAAGCGTCTGCCTTCGGCTCAGGTCATGATCCCAGGGTCCTGGGATCGAGCCCCGCATCGGGCTCCCTGCT